CAGTATTGAATTTTAATCCCACAACAAAAATATTCGACAAATAGTTAACAAATTATGAGATGCGTTATTATTTATATTTGCATACTATTTTAACAACAACAATATTTTCCTTCAACATCCTTTTTCAACATTTTTCAATCTCTTCACCTTTTCAAATGATCCTGTCCAATTTTCCAGTTATTCTGTTTTCCTCCTCCTCCTCCTCCTCCTCCTCTTAACAACATATCATTGTAAAACTTTGATTTTATTTCAAAGCATGTAACAAAGAAATTTCATCAATCCTGATTTTTCTCTACACTTAAAACAGTCTGTGTCGTATTTTGTTTGTATGAGAAGAAATCTTTTTAAGTCTGATTTAAAAGGAAAAAAAATCCATCAAACTCTTTCCATCTCTCTCTACTCCTAATATTTATTTACTCGATTATTTAAGACTGTCAACAATTTGTTAAGTAAATTCTTATTGAATGTTGTTAGTTCGAAAAATTAAATAAACAACTTTTACTATTTAATTTTATTTTCCCTTATCATTGCTTTTTCTCATTTTAATTGTTTAAATTTATAGTTATCACAAAAGTTTTTATGATAATCAAACATATCAACTTATCAATGAATATAATATAAATACGTGAACTCTTTATTCCTTTAAATTTTAAGATAAATATTTATGCTAAATCAAAAAAATTGCATTGAGCAATTTTTGAAGTTCGAAAAGTATTGAAAAAAACTTTGATAATATTTCGATTCTCATACACATACATTTGTTATCAGTCAGTTAAAATAACTTTATTGATTTCTTGTTGCTTTTGACCTTTGCCATTCATTTTTTTTTAGAAATATTTCTCAAATTACTTTTTCTCATATCAATAAATTACAGTTAGAAAATAACCAAGTAGAATGTAAGTTTTATTATATTATTCGTTTTATTCAACAATTTCACAATTATTCAATAGAGATGAAAGGCTTTTAATCAAAATTTATTATCCAATTAATTTAATTATTCGTTTTACAATTATTTATTATTTGAATCAAATTATGCAACGATTGTTTTCATTATCATTGAATGTAAAACAATAGAAAAATTTGCTAATTTAAAACTTTGGGGAGTGATTAGTTTATTTGATTGTTAACTCTTTGTCTAATATTGACTTATTTATACAATCAAATTTCATAAATATGTCTTTTCCCTCATTAACAAATTGAAATAATGAATAGTAAAATTAATTTTTGATGATAAATTAATATTTTATATATTAAGAAGTAAGGTATGAAACCAGAAGAAGCTCTCTTCATTTCCACTTTTTTCTCTCATCGAACAGCTGTCTTCTTCGTACTTGAAAACCGGTTTTACTGAGATCATATTTGCACTGAGATAATATCTTTGCCTTGCAATGGTCCGTTGATATTTGCTGACAGAAAACATTTATCGTAAACTATTTTAAAAGTTGCTTGATGCGACCTGAATTAATCAGTTTTAACAATTTTATATGCTGCGTAAATTAGTCATTAACAAGTTCTTTCTACGAGAATTTATCTATTCCATAATTATTTATAGTGACCATGAAAATTCCTTTCGAAGATTGGATATCACAAAAAAGACTTACTAGAAAACTATACTCAGCGATATTATCAAAAGATATGCAATGTTAAAGATTAAATGATTGATCGATGTTTTATCAGTGAAGATTTTGCAACATTAATTTTCAATCATATATAGTTAAATGAATGAAATTTTATGATATAATTTGATAACTACCGATGTTTTTGAACATTAAATAGATGAAGGCGTTAAAAATGAATTAAAATGTTATATTTTTTTGATCGCTTTCAGTAATTTTAGGTTAATTTCTGTTCAATTTAGCTTCCTCCTTTCGGTGATTAAATTCTATTATTAATTTTAATAAATCATATCAAAAATCATTGATCATCTAAATAATATGCAATTTAAATATGAGTTGATGGTAAGTTAAATTTTTTTATTTGACCTTTGATGCGAAACTAATTTCAGCACACTGTAGGAAAATTTTGGCTAGTCATTAAGACAATTAACAAGAAACCAAAAGGTCATGTTCTGAATTTGAAATCTAATGCTGGCGTCCGAGTAATTTGATACTAAACAGACAAAGTATGAAGGAAAATATGAAATTCAGGGTGAATAAGTAGAAAATGTGACAAATTACAAAATGAAAGGAAAGATCTGAAATCGAAAAATTATTCATTCCTGATAACATAATATTTTATTATCTTTGGACTTTTATTTTTTCCTTTACCTTTTCAATCAATTTCCTTCAATCCATCTGAACTCACTCATCCACGTGCAGTTTCACTGCTAATTCATTCAAATTCAACATCGATCGCTTCCACATAGAAAAATCGTTTGATTATAATTTTAACAAACGATTTCATAAAGTCACTTCATCTAATTACCCGCAATTAAATCATTAAAATGGAACATATTGGTATAGAGATGACTGAATTGTAGAGATATCTAATATTGCAATTGATTTCATTCAGAAAAAAGAATTGGAAATTTCTATTTTCTTTTCCATTCATTTGATATATCTCAGAAAAGATAAAACTGATATTGAAGTTGAATTTGATAGCTTTGATTAATTGAAAAATTAAATCTTTTCGATGCAAATATTCGCTGTAAATAATCGCATTTTATAATAAACATTAATATCAAATATGTTTTTGAGAATATTTCATGAAAAATTTTCGCTTTGAAATAAATTCATAATATTTTCAATGATAAAATTTATTGATATCACTGATAAGATACCATTAAAATATTTGAATTATATATTAAAGTATGCAATTTGCTTTTGTTTTGAAGCCTAAAAGATCTCTAAAAAAATTCATTTAGTTATATTATTTTACTTATCAAATTTGAAATAATTATGATTTCGTAGTATAATTTTGATAGAATTAAAGCTTACATTTTATGCTCTAAAATAAAATGAATGCGATGTAATATACGTTGTCTTGTCAGTATCAAATATTTTAAATTACTTTAAATCGAAATATTAGCAACATTAGCACTAAAAGGAAAACAGATTACGAAGTGAGTTTATCTGATCTGTCGCATATATTAATTTAATCAATTGGTAAGTGTTAATTATTGTTGCTTTTGCTATCAGAAGAACAACTGCTACTATCATTATTGTTACAAGTACTGAAACCATATTCATCTGAAAAACAGCAAAAAGACATATTATCAACAATATCAGTGGCTGTACAATTTTGTCATCCAACAAAAAACTCCTGCTTCATTCCTATTAGCTTTGATTATCGTTAGTGCTATTAGAACCGGTTTGATTAACATTGATAAATGTATCATATTTACAATGTTATCTATTATCTATTACATCTTATATGCTTAATGTTTTTATCTTTTAAGAAGTTTAAGAAGCCATATCATCTACTCTTAATATATCATTTCTAACTTCATGAATTCATTCAATATGAGATTGTACAGCCGGTTTCGAGAAAGAAAAAGATTGGTTGAGAAGATCAAATTGATATAGTTGAGATGATCAACGGATTCATCTCATTCAAATACAAAAACCGGATTTTATTTGAAAATTTGCTTGTCATGGTTCAAAAATCTTGCTCTCCAATTCAAGCAAGCTATTCATCTCGGGTTACAAATATTCATTCCTTCATATAGCTGTGATATATGGACACTTTTATATTTCACATAAATGACACTCTCATACTGTTCGCTCTTTTGCCGCATATATTTCTTACAAACCGAATAGATTTACTTCTTTACAATAAATTTAAAACTTTAATTGTTACCGAAGTATCACTTTTAATTTTTCATTCTTTTTGTTTTATTACCAATTTCAATTAATTCCTTTTTCTTTAACGATAAAGAAATACCAAACTTTTATGTTTTAACTAATTATTACGCAATTTAAAATTCAAACTTTGCTGAAATTTTATTTCATTTCGTGATAATATCATTCAAATAGCTATGAAAAAATTTCTCTTTTGAACTATAGAAAGAATTCACACCACAATAGTAATAGTAATATTAATAATTATTAATAATAACAACGATGATAATAATTAATAATAATAATATCAAGTTCTCTTAACTGTTATAAAGTGAAACAAATAATACTGGCCCAAATTTCCATTTTGATGTTGCATGTTTCCTTCATTATATTAAATCAAAAAAGAAACACAAATGTAACTTCGCAAAATAACATTTAATTATTTACCTCGTTCCAACTCCTCAACCAGAACTGATTTTTTCATCCTTTTTTAATTCAGATACTTAATGATTATCAATCAACGATCGGCGATACAAAAAACTTGCTTTTCATATTTCTAAATGCTTTCCAATATTATTTTTATATTACTATTGCATTGATAGACTTGATCAGAATAATATTCAACATTTAAGACCTGTTTTTTCATTTCTTTATTCATTTTTCGCTTAACAAAATTATAACAAACATTAATAAAATGCTTTATGCAATAAATCAAAAGAGATATTTTCAGTAATTAAGTCTTATTTAATATTTTTTTCAATGAAATTTCAGTTTTCAGTTCAATTAATTATTACTATGTTCATCTCCCGTTTTTTCCCTTTGTTTGCTGTTTCCCAACTATAAATTCAACTATTAATTATTCAATACCATTAATTTTATTCAAAATTTGAATTAGTAGTAAAAATCCGGTTGGATGCATAATTACATCATTAATAAGTAGGAATTCCGTCCTCTTCAGTTAAATCCATCCGTTTTAATGATATCATTCCTCATTCCTTTGCATAAATTTCATCATTATACTTTTTAATTTTCTCATGAAATTAACATGGAATCATATCAAAATTAAAAAATAAATTTTTATAACAAAAAGCAATGTATGAATTCTATTGGAATATTTGTTTTCTAATTTGAAATAATTATATTTTAGATTTTGATTTTCGAAAGCAGTTAGCCTCAGTGATTCCTCCTTGTGAGGAAATGTTCAGTATAGGGAATTTATTCATGGCAGTCGAATTATTCGTTTCATGTTTGGCAGGTTAATTTTGTTTTGTAGTATTAAAACCCCCTGACCTTAAATTATTAACTACTGCGCACTAAAAAAAAACATTTCGGCATTAGTGACATCGATATTATAGTTAACAAGTAGGAAATTTGAAATGGCAAAAGTTACAACTCATAATGAGCCGCGATTTGACATCCTTCTACTTCAAGATAGGAAGTTGGCATTTAGCAAAAAAGATAATGGCTAGAAGGAAATAAAATTAATGTACGAATTTCTAACAAATTTAAAAACTTAAAATTTAACTCACATTCCAGGTATTGATTTGCATGCATTAGGATCAATTACACTTACAGAGTTTGATTTTGAAAATGCCGAATTGCTGACAAAAGGTATGCATTTTTAATTTCATTATTTCTCATTGAAAAAAATCAATCGTACAATTCTTAATGAATCAGAAATTCATCAAAATAAATTTCTCAGAAATCAAAAAATTTTGATAAATGATTATAAATGATTGAAGTTCCATTTGATTGCAAAACTTATCATTTAATACAAATCAAAGAATTCAAAAATTTTCTCTGATTCACAGACGAATTATATAATCCGAATGCTCTTTCGCTTGAGGAGGTAAACAAGCATCGATCAGATATACGAGGTCCAATAGCTTCAAAAAAACGATTTCGACGAAACGGTATTAATAAGCCAGCGAAATTATGGCCTGGTGGTAAAATACCATATTCTATATCACCACGTTATACGAATCTTGAACGAGCTTTATTAGCTAGGGCTATAAAACAGGTATTTCAATTTAATAATTAAAATCTTTCAAAAAAAAACAGTTAAAAAAAAGGTATACCTTGAAGGAATGATTGATGACATATTGAATATAATGAGAAATTGCCAGCTCTAATATTTTTCGATTTAAAATTATGAATAGCAATTCATAATTTTAAATTGAAAAATAATTCTGAAAATTGATGATAAATTACAGAAATATTTTTTTTTTGTAGTTAAACTAATAGAAGGCAATTTGATTAATATTTTTGCTATCAAAATTTATAGATTTGTATTTATTAATTATTTACTGACATGTCATTTCTCAATTCGTAGTAGAGAATATTTCTTTCTTTTGCAGTATCATGATAAAACATGTCTTCGATTTGTACCACGTTCTCTATATGAGGGCGATTATCTTTTTATCGGTAAAGTTGACGGGTATGTTGTAAAATTTCTTCAAAAATTAAATTATTGTAGCAGCAATTAAAAATTTTTCTTGAAATCAATTAATTTAAGATTTCAAATTTTATCACTTTTGAATTTTAATTTTATTTTAAAGTAATTTTAGCTAATATTCGTTTATTATTTGGTAAAATTTTCCTTTTATTTGAATAAAAAATACATGAAATCAGTTTTGCATAATGAAAAGAAAAGCTAAGGCACAACTAATTTGATAAAATTATCAAGTAGCTAATTAAGTTAAAAATAAAACAATGAAATGGTAAATTAAAATCTATAAATAAGTAGATGTATACTTTTAAAAATTTCAGATGTTTTTCGGAAGTTGGACGAACAAATGGCGTGCAAGTGCTATCGCTAGACGATGGCTGCTTAGAGTATACAACGATTATCCATGAAATGATGCATGTTATTGGATTCTATCATGAACATGGTTAGCTATCCTTCTTATTAAAATGAAATAATTCATTTTCATCTTATAGGAAGAATATATATTATGGCAAAATTAGTTATGAAATTAAATCTGTTCATTTCAATACAAAAACAGTTAAGTAATTTCGAGACAAAATCAGAATATTTCCATAAAGCTTTAGATAAATAATAAGGGAATTAGACAGGTAAAATCGGACAGTTTGAATTATTGACTAATGAAAGGTAAATTTTGAAAGTGAGTATCAAAGTAATGATGACTACTTCAAACCATACCAAAATCTCGGATGGTTCTTGCTAATAGCAATGAGATTGATAGTAAACAAATTTAATATAAGTAAAAAAAATTTATAATAATTTAATTTTCATATGTTCAAATTTAAATGAGAAAATTGTGCGGAATTTCCAACATCCGTCAAATTTTTTTTATTGGTTAAAAAAGTTATTTTTATTTTAATTTCTTTGTTAAAATATAAACATCAGTTTTTTAATGGAACAATTTGAATTGATTGATTTCTTTTTCATATATACAGAACGATGGGATCGTGACGATTATATTAATATTTTTTGGAGGAACATCGATCGCGGTATGTACCAATAACCTTTGTCATTTTTTTATTTACTTTTGTTTAACTAATCATTAGAAGCTAACAGTTTTAATTCACTTCGAAATTTTTAATTTTATAATTGCTTAGAAAAAACTCAACTTATTTTGTTTTAAAAATTTCAAATGTAAAATGTAAAATGATTAAAATAATATTATATAAGACTAATTTTAGCTTTTCATCATTTTTTGTTTTCTTCTCAAAATTTCTGTTATGTGAAAGGTCATTTGATTGTCAAGTGACCTTTCAGATGATGAGAGACAACCTTTTCTTTCTCATTTCATGGAGTTAATGATAATCACAAAGATAAAGTATGACCAATTATTTTTGAATGCAATTTTTCTTTGTATAATAAATGTGTTAATTATTACATTATAATAACTAGCTAATATTTTCATAGAAAATTCAATGATTTTTTAGCAGCAATCGATCAATTTGGTAAAGTTGATCTAACAAAAACTTCATATTATGGACAGCCGTACGATTACCATTCCATTCTTCACTATGATAGTTTAGCATTCAGTAAGAATGGCTTTCCAACAATGCTTCCCAAACAAAAAGGTTTAATTGTTAAAAATTTTACTCAAAATTATAATCAAAATAATTGATGAATTTAAGCGAATTTTTTCAATCAATAATTAATGAATTAATTATAACTTTGCGTACGTTGGATAGGTTTATATGATATGTTTATTGAATACGTTCATAATTGATGAATTTGAGCAAACTTTCAATCAATAATAAACATTTCGAAAAGTGTTTCATTGCAACTGTCATAACATTTCATTCAATTTATTCATTTGATATTAAATAATACCTTTAATATCTGAGCTTGCTTGAAACTTTCAAATAATCTGAGATAGAATTGTCTTTAAATAATCTGAGAGATAGAATTGTTTTTTTTCTTTGTCTAAAATTGTATAATTAAGAGTTTGACAAAACATTCAACTACTCAGATTATAAATGATCAACGAGACATTTATTACATATTGTATAGTTTCCCTTTATTGATAACAACTTTTTGCTATTATTACAACAATAATAATTTATAGGATTTGCAACAACAATTGGTAATGCGAAAGATTTTAGTGAAATTGATTTAGCAAAAATTAATCGAATGTACGGATGCCCTGAAGAGTACATTACTCTATTACAGCCGAGAGCTCAGGTATATTTTGATGGAAGTGGATAATGTAAAATAAATTAAAGTTAAAATAAAGATCACAATGTAATACTATCATTATATATTCGAAATAAATAATATTATTCTTTCATTAGTGATATCAATTACAATCACAATTGAACTTTCAATAGAAACTAAAGTAATTAGCAAATATTTATCATTTAAAAAGTAAAATTCCTACAGAGTAAGTAAATATTGCTCCAAAACTTTTGTATGAAATTGAGTAAAGTGTTATCTTTTGAGGTTAACTAAATTGACATTACAAATATTTCGGAGAATAAATTCTACACAGAATTTTAGTGAACCAAATTGATTGTAATTTTTATATATTTTTTGAAAACTATTAACAATGTGATTCATAATTGATATTCATAAAGTTTACAGATCTTTCTTCGATTTAATGACTTAGCATTTTTGAAATGACAAAATTTTAATTAATGTTAAATGTAACATTTTGCCTTGCAAAGCTTTTTAGAAAATATGGAATTTGCTATTATTTAAAAGAAGATTTGAAAAATTTTGCAGAGTTCAATGATACATCTGCCACTTTCAAAACGATATAAAATACCATCAATGGATGATCAATACTTTGATGAATTTCCCGCAAAAATGGAACATAAAAGTAATTATCAACTTTAATCAAAATTAATTGTTTTTTTATCGTATAAAGGAAATTGAATTAAACAGGAATTGAAATAAAATGAAATGACTGGTTTGTTTTGCAGATTGTAAGGATCGTATAATTGCATGCTGGATGACCCAGGATCGATGTCATTCTAAGACCTTATTTATACTCATGAAAACATTATGTGCCAAAACTTGCAAATTATGTTAGAATCCATTTTCGTCTTTTTTCCTCTTGCTTTTAGAGTTCTAATGAAAATTTGATAAGCTGCCTTTTATTATTGGTCTCCATTCTATTTTCTATGTCTACATTAAAGCTATTCATTATCAGTCGTTTAATTATTCAATATAATTCGTTTCCTTACAATGACTGTTATATCTATCAGATATGAATAAGATTAAGCTTCAGATTCTCCATCGTAAAGGTCAACATGTTAATTTCATTTATTTATGGGTGGCTTTTGAATTTATATTTTAATAAAAATTTCTCTCATTTGTTTCTCGTATCCTTCTTTATATTCCAAAATGAAAGACTACGGATACGCAACAATAAAACTAGTCATTTTCCGTTAAAATATGCTTTATTTCATGTCAATTCTAAGCAACGAATAATATCTTAGTTTCAAATAATAATTCATACATTCTTTTCTTACAGGAATTGAACCTTTTCAGTTTTCCGTTCAGAGGATGAAAGTGATGTACGAGTTAAGAACTTTCGCTAAAATTTTAGGAAATTACCGCACCACACATTCAGGAATGTAATTCATAATGAGTCCAGGGTTACCTCAAATTTCTATGACCTAAACTAAATTCACAACAGGATTGTGTTGTAGAAGTAGCTCACGAATAAATATTTCAAATTTGCAAACTATGACTGGTAAGCACAATTCTAGTATTTTTATTTCCATATATATTGCTTTAAAGCATGATGTGCAATAGCTTCTAGCCTTATTTACTGAAACGAACAACCACGTTTCAGCACAGTTTACCATTTTCATTAAACTTCCCGATTCAAAAGAACACGGATAGCCACCAGAATTATTCCATTTAATTTCCTCAAATCTGTTTGTTGTATATCTTTATTTTATCACTTAATACTACTTTTGTACAGAGTCTTTAGAATGAGTACTAACTTATAGTGATTTGAATAAATGCTGTATTCGAAATTTACTTTTTTTGGCTCAATAATATCAAAAGCTTTTGCAATCTTTGACACAGAGGCTCTATTTTCGAACTTCTTTGTTATTGTCATTCTCATGCGATTAAACTGGAACTTAAATGATATCAGAACTTCACAAACATACATGGCCTGCATAAAAACGTGACTTCAAATCTTCCCCACGATGAGAATCTTGCATTGTAAGATAAAAATATGCATTATGCTGGCACAAATATGTTGATTTATTTCAGGAAATGCATTCAGTTGAAAATTGAAGTTAGAGCAACTTTATACACAGTCAAACAAATTTCAGGAATGGGAAAACTGAAATTTGAGATTAAAGACAACAATCAAACAGATTTCAGGGTAATGGGAAAACCGAAATTTTTTGTTTCGATAAATATCGGCATAAAAGAATTTCACTTTAAAGAAATTTGTCATATTTTTGAAAATTCTTCTATTAAAGAATTCTATTAAAGAAAAGAAATTTGTCGTATTTTTTGAAATTCTTTAATAGAAGAATTTTCAAAAATACGACAAATTTCTTTAAAAAAATTCTTGACCGCTTTCTTTTTCAAAACTATATATTAGCTCAGTCATCAGTTATCAACAGTTGGAAGCATAAGAAATATGCCACAGTGGAGATATACGAATGATACGACCTGGCATTAAAATCAAAATTGTAGTGCCTTTAAAGAATGCCTATAAACCTATAAACCATTTCTACTTTTCTATCCATTTTGCTCTTTTTAAGGTAGGAGAAGAAAAAATCCAATAAATTAAAAATCGCTCCTAAGTTCAATCACTGAACAAGAGAGGTAGGTTAGAATAAAATAGACGAATTTTACTCGAAGACAATGATAAACCATGGATTAGCGAAAAACCCAAAGTTTCCAATGACTTTCTTAAAAAGGAAAAAGGCACCGTAAAGATTGCAGTTTTCCAGGAAAATCGCAGAATAGTGTTATATACAAAACATGTCGGATTATGATTCCTATTATAGATATTTCGCTGGATTTTTCATAATCTCGAAGTATCCACAACATTAATAATGCAATCAGTGGGTCATGCTCCCTTTTCAGCTAAAAAATGCCGAAAGAACAATTAAATTTGTAAAAATTTGAAAAGTTAGAAAGGAGCTTTGACCTGAAGATTTTACAATACAAAATATGGAGATCAATTTAAAATTTCATCTAACAGCTTCAAGATCAGGGAAACACAAACAAAGAAAATGAAAGCTGAAATTAACAAAATTACCTTACTGTAAACCAAATCCACGACTATAGCTAATTGCTTTGGTAATACGCTCTCTTGTTATTTCAAGATCTCCATAATCGGGTAATAGCATTACGTTGTAGCAGGTATGAGCTGTTGGCAATCTAAAAACAATTTAAATTCTCAAAAACAACATACATTGAAGGAATCGCTGAAAGGTATTTATAGAAGTTCTGAACCATATATTTCAAAGTTATTTCGAAATTCAGATGATTAATTGCAGAAGTTAGATATACCATCAAATCAATATTATTTAAAAAAATGGATAATCTTAACTTTGTTGTAACAAACTATTTTATTCCGAATAGCTTAATAAGGCGCTTTAAGTTATAATATTATAAAACGAAGAAGTCCAATACATTCCTAAACATATAAGACACACCTTTCTTTATTATCACCATTCCGAGCAATAATGACTTCTAATTTTGCTAAGCCTCCTACAGGGACTCTATCGGAACCCGTGATGAATTGAAGCAACATTTTCTTTTCTTCCGTACTCATTGCTTTTGCCACTGTCCAGAAATCCTGAAAAAATCCATTAACTTATAATTATGAACCAAGTGGATCATACAAAAAATTAAACTATCCAAACATGCTTTGAAGTGTTGTCATAAGACCAACCTTTACTGTTTGACTGGTTTCAGTAAAACCGTTTTGATATTTTGTACACTGTGCAAGTATGTCGAAATTCAAATCCTAAAACATCTTTTAGAAATAAAATCCAGAAAGTTTGAAAATGTATAAAATTTAATGTATAAATGCTTCTTTTTCAATCTAAACAGAAAAAATCTGTTGCAAAATATTCCACTGCAAAAGTTATAGCTGATAATATCAGGGAGAACTCTATGTACACGACAATATATAAGCAAATAAATAGGTGGAAAATGAAGTTTCAGCGAGTTTGAAGAATTTATTTCAAGTAAAAAGAAACAAAAGGACAAATAGAAGAAACTTACAAGTACACCACAAACTAATTGTTCAACTTCATCAGGCATAAATAATCTCCTCAATAATCCACGGTTAGCTACCTTGTTAAAGCCCATACTAAACGCGTCAAATTGTCGTTTTACTGAACGATTTAACAAGAAATCAGCATAGCAAGCTACGAATTTCTGAAAAAAAAAACATTCTGAACAAACGTCGATACTAAAGTTAGTCCTAGGTTCAAAAACAGGAGTAATTATTGAGCTTCTAAAATTCTATAACTTTACTGGTTAGAGCAATTAATACTGAACTGAATGCACATAGCAATCTGGAAAATATGGTCAATATCATCTGTAATAAATACTTCACAAAAATGGTATGGAATATCTTCAAAAAATTATTATATCAATTTAAACACAACAGATAGGCCTCGTAAGTTAGACCTTCATAATTTATCGTGAATAAAAATCAGCAACATAAAGCTGAATAACCTTTTTATTAGCAAGTGTTACAGGTATATTTGCACCATTTGGTATAAGCTCTTCATCGTGGTTACAACCATAAACATCTCTGTATGAAATTTGAAACGTATAATTGTAAATATTTTCCACGTCATCATTACATTCAAGCAATTGTCGTAATCCACTGTATAATTCCTAAAAACAAATTTAGATTTACAAAGCAAAAAAAATATATTCTTTTAATTTAGTTAAAAACTTTACGTCTTAAAAGTACTTACCGAATCAATTTGAACAAGTTCATCAAAAACGGCCGGCCTTGCAAGTAATTTTACATAGACTAATGACGGAAAGCGTACATCAATAAGAATGTTGTTATATATAGCTAATCCAAACAACAGTCCTATTAGTCCGAATTCATCATCACAAAAGTTGCATTGGGAATTGAACCAGTACAAACCCGTTTTTTCATTTAAAACGAACATTCCTAAAAAAATGAAGCAAAAAATAAGCAAAGCAAAGTAGCAAAAACTAGTGGAAAATGAAGTAATAAATAATGAACAACGAGCAAAAGCAAAGACGAAGAGAAACTGATAGTAAATTTAAACAATTTATTTTAGAAAGCAAGTCATTATAGAAAGAAATATGCTACTAATTGAAATAAGAATAATAAAAGAACATCCAATTTTTTTCACAGTTATGTACATTTCTTCTAATATTCAAAAATTAAAAATAAAATTAGTAGAACCTACCGTAATCCGGACAAAATAGTTCGTCAGTTATCAGCTGATAGAACTCTTTCGATACACCTCCCTCGTCTACTGCTTGTTCACCGTCAAATTGAATCCGAAGCTGCTTCTTGAAGTTAGCTGAATTGTCCATTGCAATAGCAGCAAGCTGAAAATAACGCACGGGATGAGGTATCTAGCTAGTATATTTACCAGAAATGACTGATAGATTTTTGATTTCCCATTTGAAAGATCAACAATAAGATTTGCTTATAAGTGAATTCCACCCATTATTAACAAAAGTGAACATCAATTGACTTGATACTGACCACATACAATTCCTAGGAGTACTTCAATATCTTACTCCATTATGTACTGAATTCATCATTAGAAGACAATTTAGCTTCTATTTCCTAACAGTGATTGGTCTTTTTTACATTAGTCATTTCCACTGCAAAGGAAAATTTTTTGCATCTATGATGACAAATTATTCTGTACCCATAAAATTCCAAGACGATGTAGTATTTCACATCGTTGCACAGAAATTGCCACTTAAAAAGTAACTTTTTGATGCTATTTATATTGATCTCAATTTCGTCAGGAAGTGTACAAAAAAATCAAATAATAATAAACTTTGTTGGAAATTAAGAAAAAAGAACCGTACACTATCCAAAGCATCACGTATAATATTATCACGACGAATGTTTAATTTCAAATACGGTTCCATCGACACACCGAATGTAATAGCATCAGCCAATGCCTGTCGGCGCTCACTTCTCTGACGAATTCGATTATTCAGGTAAAGAAAACGTTGCTTCACTTCGGTTGTTAATATGAATGAATATTCGGGCATCACCGAAAATGCATGTCCATTCTCGTACGACTATGAAAATTAATTAGTTTTGCTTAAATATAAAATTTGACAAAGCAAACTACATTTTAATAATAGCCCGAAGATATGCATATCTTTTAAAAGTTTTATGGAGATCAAGATGATATGCTAAACATTGGCAAATTCAATTCTGGCGAGAAAATGCATCGCTCGTAATTTGAAATCACGACAGCATGGAATTGGTCGAAAGAGGGCACAGGTAAATGTTACATTCGACATTCTCTGATACTCGCTGAGATGACGTAAAACCTTATCGAATTTGACGAAGATACAAACTTTTATGTTAAAGGTAACAATATGAACCTTATATGCAACGAAATCATCTTGAACCGAAATGTTATCACTCAACGTTGAATTCATCAATTCTGTTAACGGTAAACAGGTTTTCGTTACCAACCATGCATCAATCGGTGCCTCCTTTGCTAACCGGATTTCCTCTTCTTCATCTAGTTCAATTCCTGCAAATAAAAAAAAAAGACAGCAAGTCGGAAAGCAATCCTTCCCGCGCAAGGACCTGAAAGAAGGTCGAATCACAAGGTCGACTTAGGAATCGAAAGAGATTGATCAAAATATAAAAACTGTTTCATTCTGAAAATCGCCAAAATAAAACAAGCAACAAACCACTATAAGTAAACGCCTCAAGAAACGATGAAAAATTTCGCCGCCTGTTATTTTCCCATGAATTTCTTCCATTATCTGAAAAAATGTTGGCAATCGCATTATCTTATCACTGAAAACATAAGATTCGATGCGTAACTTTTTCTTTCTAAAGAAAGAAATGAGCAAGACTATTGCCGAATAAAGTTCATATCGACCTTATATTCAGGTTTTTTTGAGAAAAATATAACGAAGTCATTCTACCATGTAAAAAAACTTTTGATTAATTAGTAGAGTTGAAAAAAAGTTAAATATTATCGATAAGTGACAATGGTAACAGTTGAGGAGAGAGTTATTCAACTACGTGCAACCAGTCAATATTTTTTCACTTCGACAAATTGAGGATAATCTTTGCACCAACCGTAGAGTATTCATCATATGATAATAATTTTTCGAAAAATGATAATAAATGTTCATATTATCAAGCAGAAATTGTTAAAAAAAAGCATACTAGTTTCTGCATTCATTGCTGACAACTCTGCATCATGGGTTTCTATTATTCCATTCATCTTAATGATGTCTACAAGAAAACATTAAAATAAATAATAAAAGTTTCCCCAAAAAAACAAAGACAGGAGATTGAACAAAAACATTATCCAAATTTAAAATAAGAATGCAGAAGATACACTACAAGATAAAAAACAAACCTCAAAAATATTCCATAAATTTGTACAGCAAAATCGCTGATTTAGTAATTTTTAAGATCACAGCAAAAAACATACCCCAAGGTAGAATCATATCACGTTTGGATCTGACTAAAGTTGCCTTATACAATATAGACAAGGCTTGAATCGCAGCTGGTAAAGGTTCAATTCGATCGGTAAAAAGTGGCAAGCTTCCAACCGCATCAATTACAGTTAAAACACGAAGCGTAATTGCCTAGAATGAAGTAAGATCAATGATGTAACCCTTTCTGAAAAGATCAGAAAATGATTTCCTGAAAAATTTAAATGGAACAAAAACAGAATATACCTGTTGCATAAAGTTGATACGTTCCTGTATCCAATGGGATCCAAAACTAGCCCACACTGATGCCAGTGCCATTTGACCTTCTTCTGATAAATTTGAACACATTTTACACAGTGGCGTGAAGCCTACTTCAATAAATTCAAGCCACTGGATGAATGGTAATTCGAACATTAAACATATAATGTGTGTAATACCAACTGGATCACGCTCCCAGGCTCGTTCATATTGCAACTGAAAAGATTATTCTGATTACTCAGCTGATTGGCAGAAAGTAAATGAATTTTCTACAAAGATTAAAAAAAGGAGATGAACAAAGTGATGGAGTTTTTGAGTGAATTAATCAGAGTATTAACTAAATTTATGCGGCTAATTCCCTTGACTTACATATATAATTACGTAAAATCCTGAATTATCAGAAATGCATTCACTTCAACACAATAAATCTTTACCTGGAAATCAATTATGCTGCAAAGCTGAGCTATTGCACCCATTGCAGCATTCAAATAATGCTTATGCTCACTTGTTTCAATAAAAAGCAAACGAAAACAACGCCGTGCTGCATCTATATCCGTTGGTGATCTTAATCCAAAGAATTTTCAGAGGATTTCTAATCATTTGATAGAGTTCCAAAAAGTTTGTGAGAATTGTTAGGAATTTATAAAAATTAAAAATTTGTTAAAGAAAGGGCTAATGAGTAAAATTTAAACACACTTTCCTTCCTTTAATTGTGAAATGATTTTTGAAACCTCTTCCACTGATTGCGTAGCTTTTTCCTGGAATACAATAACAGTAAAAGCAGTTTAATAAATGACTATATGAAATGCAAGCAGAGCACGGAATAAAAAAAAATCTATTACAACAGCGGAACAAACAACATATATTTTTTTTCGGACTTCTAATTAACGTATTTTTTATCAATTACCTCATTTATCCACCCGTAATGACTGCAGCTCCTCGGAGATGCGTTGTTTGTATATTGCATGCTACTTGAATCAGATGCTGATCTGTAAATAAATGTTTTTCTTTCTTGATTTCCAAAATATCCCCATTTTTTTAAAATAATCTAATTACCAGTACAAATTAGTCTTTCATTAATTTCTATGACAATTTGAATCTACCACAAAACAAGCGATGAGAAACATACCTTGTAAGTTCACTTGCCAGCGTACGAGAAAGTGGCATTTCAGTGGAGGTATCTGAATGAGAAGACTGAGTTATATCTAATGCTAATTCACTGCTTGTCCTTTCCCCACGACTGTACTTTCGATCTATCTTTTCTTCCATTTCTTTCTCTCCTGTGATGTTCATATAATTTCAACAAAAACAGCGAACATGTTTTACAGTTTGAATCAGGATTTCGGAACTTTATTGTTTAAAATCCAGATTCAACAGTGGAAAAACGGAGTTTAACTAAATACATTAAATAATTTACCGCAGCTAACAGTAATGGAAGAAGTATCTGTCTTGGTTTCCAACTGCAATTCTGTACCATCTACATCAGCCTGTGCTCTTCGTTTTCGTTGTGAAACTGACTGTTGTTCGGTTGAAGCACTTATTATCCCATAATCGATTGGATTCTATAACACTTGGAAGAGATCTGTTAAATAGTTAAAATTTAATTCTTTTTTTCTGGTATTATTTCGACCCTCATTTGTTTCTCACTATGTCTTCCTTCTTTAATATCATTTAAAATTTTTCTATTTAAAATTATCGGGAAATATTCATACAGCAAAAGCAAAAATTACCCCATCCAGTTGTGCCCGAAAATTGTTATTGCGGAATGAACTCAGCATCGCTATACGATTGCCTAATGCATTTTCCAGATAACTTCTTATCCAATACCAATCATCTTTTGCACGACATTTCTCCAGTAATTTTTTAATTGCTTCTTCATTTAGTGATTCCTGTGAATCTGCTGCCTCCATCGTTAAAAATTCTGCAAATTCGAAAGTTAGAAGGTGATAAATCCACAGACATGAACAAAACAGTCAATGATAAGAAAAAAGCAACCAGTAACTTTCTACCAAAACAGAAAAAAACGATCAAAATTTGATAAATGCATTAATATATCTCAGTAAATTGAGAAAAGCACCCGATTATGACGAGAGGAGACGAGGAAGAAAGGAACGGGGATACGATGGGGTTTATAAGATGAGATTTCTGATAAACTGAGATTTTGACGATAATTCATGAACAATCATTCATAGGCAAGGAATATGTTTGATTCAACTTATTAAAAAATAAAAAAAAAATTATGCTTTTTTTTTTATCAGATCACGATCAAGAATTTTCAATGAAATAAGCACTATATTATAATTTACCTGGAAGTGGCTCGCATAATCGCGCCTTATCTCGCAAACAGATAATTGCTCGAGCTGCAGCTTCATTACTTGTTAATTTGGGTAGTTTTCCAGACGATGCACAGTTCTCGTTTGAACAATATAACCGCCCACAACCGACTAGTAACTGCAACAGAGTAAACGGACCTATCCTAGAAAGTGCATTCATCTAGGAAAAATATAATAAATTAATTTTCCCAAGTATTTACGCAGTTTTGCATGAAATAGTTTTCAGCTAACTATTTCATAAAAATAAAGTTTAGACTATAGATGAACAAATTCCCGCTTCTAGATGCCACCAAGCAAAAAATTGAGAAACTAAATAAATTACATCGACAAAAAATCTTCCACTAAATTATTTAAGATAGCCCAGAGGAGATGAAATATGTGTTTAACAAAAACTAGAAAAAAAATAGCTTTATGTTTAACAGACCGAAGAAACATACCACTATATCATGCCATCATCTAGAATTCAACAATGGCAATATCGGAAAGTGAAACACATAATTTCTTTCCTAATTAATCCATGGTATGTGAAGAATCAAGCAATTTGTTAAAATCAGAAGTTCAAGGTAAATCTCAATGAACCGAATAACTAACCTGTTTGTGATACTTCCCAATTGCTATTTTCATGGTCTGTGGAGGCCCATGTCGATGAGTATCATCTTGTTCTTGTTGATCAGATCCATTCATCTTGAAAAAAACCAATAACCTATATCTCTCTTGACAGCTACTTTCGGTCTACGAATCCGGAAAACAGTTAAGGTAACAGTATACCAAAACACAAAACTCCATAAACACAAATACACACACACACACACACACACATACACATACACATACACAAACACACACATACACAAACAAACGGAAATCATTACAACGAAACTAACTGCGATACAGCATCCTAAGTATCGTTTCGAGACCTGCTTTTAAATTAAAATTGAACTTTAATAAAGTGCGCGCTTACTAGTATGTCACGTTACTGATTAACGATTCTGATTGAAAGTGATTCAATTTGAAAGATTTAAATCCCAAACGTTCGTATGATCAGGAATCGTAAAATTTGCATACTTTTGAGATTCTCAACAAGGTGCCACATTGTCTATTCCTCTTATTTGACTGACACCTCCGAAATACATTGAAAATTGTTGTACCGATGACCCTTCCAATCTCAGTTTGAACTTTTTTTAATGATATTTTGAATTACTTCCGACAATAATTTGAATCCTTCTTGACGAAATAAATCATTTCTGATGACAGTTTGAAATGGAAGTGCGAAGATATGTATCTATCGATCTATCAATACATATATGAATGTGTGTGTGTGTGTGTGTGTGTGTGTGTGTGTGTGTGTAAATCTGTGCCATGTAATAAGAATTGTATGTTGAGATTTAGTATTTGTTTTTATTTATTATTGATGTTGGACGGAAGAATACAAGAGCTTTGCCATTCTATTAATCTTAAATTTCAAATAGTAAGTTTGTGTTGGTTTGCATACTGGACATTTGTTAAAAAAAACGGAAAATCAATCATTCAAAACTACAGTTCGTATTTCTTCATTTGTCATTGTGTCAATTGCACCATTTTCATTAACTGAATGAGTTCATTTCCGTAATTTAATATTCTTTTATATGATTCGTCATATTTAATAGCTATTACAGTTTTCCATTGAATTTCCAGTGAATTCATATATATCGCCGAGCAAAACATCAGTAAATGATTTTCTGTAGTTTTCTTTTGCTTAAGTTAAATTTTAATTTACATTGAATAAAATAATAATTGGAGAAAAGATACATATGCAAAAAATCTATTGAACTTCTTATCAAATGACAGAAATAGACTTATCAATCCTTCGAACTCTTCAATTTTGTATCTTTTAAATCATGGAAACCCAAAAAGTTTCCGGTTCTTTCTCTTTTCCTGAAGAGATACAGGCAATTACACTCATGTTCGTAAACGAAATCATTTCATTCCATATGTGACTATATTGCATAGAGAGTGCTGAAGTGGTTTTGTATCTATCAATTAGTCAGCAGCGTAAAATGCCAATCAACCAACCATTTGTTTTCTTTCTACTTTCTACACTTTGTCTTTCAGATTATTTGCGATAGCTATTACTTTTTCTGGAACTAATCTAACTTATTATTACAGTTATTCAAATATTTAGAAACCATTTTGTATACATTTCAAATGAACGAATAAGTTCGATTTATTTAAATTTAATAAGAATGTTTGAAATTCATTCTTTCCAAATAATCCAGAAGAAATTCCTTAAAGAATTTGAAATTATTCAATAGTTGATATTCAAATCATTTCATTCAATCTTTCTTTTCAAAACCAAAATTTGAACGGAACAATGACAACAACTGCTGTTAAATGAATTTAATGATTAATAGAGGAAAAAATTTGCAAAAAGAAATGAAGAAGAAAAGGAAGGTGTTAGGCAATAATAGCAGATGATTGTTATCGATGAAAGAAATTTGCAGAATTAAAAAGAAATTATAAGAAAATTTACAGGGGAATCAGGAAGATTGCCGAAATGAGAGTTATTTTTATAAAGGATTAGGATATAAACAAGAGATCAACAGGTGTTGTCGTTACATTTGATACATTTTATAGACTATTTCCTATTATCTAATTGCTAAATCTTCGAATGACAGCTTTGTTTTTGTGTTTATATCACTGATCGCAATGTAAAAATTTATTTTAAAGAGATTCTAAAAATAAAATAAAATTGACAAAATGAAGTTTCTTGATCTTTAATTTTGAAATTGCTCCTTTAAATAAATATGAGAGCAATTTACAACTATAAGATTCTCTCATACTATTAAAAATAAGATGTCATTAAATTAAATTAGAATAAAAGAAAACCTTAAATTTGTTAAAACTATCGTATTAGGATTAACTGAATGTTTCCATAAAATCATTCCATCAAAAATTTATAACCTAAAGAAATGAAATTCTCCCTTTCTAATCTCTCCCTATTCATTCCTACGGGAATAAAACAGTTAATTTGTTGGAATATCAAATCTGAATAATAAGAGAGGAAGTTTTGACATAAAGAAAAGATGAGGAAATAAAGGTTTACAATAATGAATAACGACGAGTGCCAGCCACACTCTTGTTATTAATTTTATTTGTGATGGAAGAAGATAAACTAAGGTTCCTTTCTTTCTTCTTATCCATGCATCTCTTTTCGATATTATTGGAAAGAGACGGCGATCTATCTGCTCGTTGGTCATTTCTCTTCATTTTCTTCCCTTCCCGCGATTCATCAAAATTGATTATTCACTCTCTGGGATTCTAGCAATTCATCCAGCCAAACTTTATATTATTGGAGAATGTGAAATTTTGAAAATTAATATCCTTTCTTTATCGACTTCTCTTTTGGATTGTCCTTTCGTCCATCTGTTTGTATGTTTTTTTTTGAATTTTAATCTAATTTTAGATCCGGATGCACATCACAAATGTTTGCCCACTGGACTACCTATTAAAAAGTTTTAGTTGAATTTAAAATGGGTCATATGAGGTATTTCTCATTCTCTCTCTCTCTCTCTCTCCATTTTGATATAGCAAATTAAACTTCTATAATTATTTTAATCAAATCCTACATTCGAGGCTTCTCATGTGGATATATTTTTTTTGTGCATTAAAAAGTATTTTAATATGATTCTATTCTTTCTCACATCTTTGAAACTTAATGCTTATTTCATTTTTCTCGACAAGTTTTATTATACGGGAATATCAGCATAAAGGTGAAAAGATTCGACTCGTTAGAAAAATTTTTGTCACACTATGGTCAAGAAATCAATTTGACAACTTCAAATATGTCCACTGCATTACTGTAATTACTGTAGACTGTAAACATTTGTTGCTACAGTGATAATGAAATGATTATATGAGTTGTAAGGAATAGTTAATTGTCTTCTCATCTTTATTCATTTAAATTTCCAAAAAATTTGAACAATCGCATTAGAGGATTTTAGGATAAATTTTATTTGATTCATTGTTTCCATCTACTCCATCATTAGCTAACAAATTTCATTCTGAACATTAAAATTCAATTTCATACTTTTTTAAAAAGATTTCTTTTTTGAGCAATAAATTCTCAAATATCGTATTACAACTCGAAATGATTCAAATATATGATTTTTAATTCTTTAAAAATACACAATTCTCAGCCAAAAAAGTTTTAATAACTTTGGAGGAATCGAAAACAAAAAAGATGGTTTTTTGAATTTTGTAAGGAATGATTATGTGCTATGAATTATGATAAAGCTATCAACGTGGGTGGAAGTGTGTAAACAATCTGATAAATTTTTGAAAAGATTCAAGCACAATAAACAGACCCCTATTTTGTTAAAAATTTGATTTTATCGATACATTCTTTTCTCAATTTCTCGTCAGTCGTTTTTCTCCGGATACCGGTTCGAAGTGTAAAAATGCAATAGAATACTTCTCAGTATCATCACTCCAGAAAATTCATCTAAATGAAAAGAATTGAATTAAATCATTTACTTTTTGATGTATATATACTTTATATATCGACATAGCTTGATCTTTAGTACATTTAACGAAATATAATGATCTATTTTGGTTGATAATACAATTCATGATCATGATGAATGGAGATGTTCTGATGATTGCAGGAAAAAACGCTATGTAATAATATCAATGATATTGATAATATCATTTTGATCCGAGTTTTTTCTTTCTTTCATTTTAATAAAAATTGAAATTTAATGATAACTGTATCCTGCGGTATAACATTCTCGAAACGGATAACCTTGAATTTATCATTATTTTTTTTTCACATAGATAATAAAAGGCATACGAAAGAACTGGAAAACTTTCTTCCAATTTTTCTTATACAATAAAAGAGAAAATCAAAAGAAAAAAAGTTCAAAAATTATCACCTATTTGTTTTACAAATGTTTTGAAAACGGTGAGAGAATTTGTTGGCAGTTTGGATGATAGTAAATGCCGTAGAAACGACGAACGACTACAACCATAATGATGAAATTTGCTGATAATATCTTTCCTTTTGTTTTTTTATTTCCCTTTTCTTATTATCTGAGAATTTTTTAATTGGCATCGACAACTTTTTGGAAATGAACAAATGAAACGATAGGAAAAAGCAATAATATGTTTATCCTGCAAATATTTTATGATCCAAAATGATGTTTTGTTATCATATCATTTAAAAATTCTTTAAGGAAGAAGTTCGAATATGGAAATTAATGCAACTTAGTATAGTAGAGAAATTAATAAAGGGAAATTTTTTGCCGTGAAATTACGACGATATCACCAGGAAATATAATTTTCCTTCAGCAGATATATTAAAATGAATTGGATAATCAATCGTATTAATCGTACTTATAAAATTGATGATAAATTTTTTCATAGATTAAATGATCTGTTTTTAAATATTTTCTCACATTTCATTTTCTGTTTCTTCTTTTGTCAATCTGATAGATATCATGATAAACTACTAATGTTTATCGATTTGATGATTTATAATATATCATTATATCAGATGACAAATAATTTATTTCATAATTATTGTTATAATATATGACAGCTGGTGTACTAGAAATGTTTTGAAGAGAAAAAAAGAAAAGAAATCTGTAAATCGAATTATCATTCCTTAACAATTATCATTTCATGCATTCAAATATAATACACAAATT